AAATCATTTTTACTAAAACCAGTGCACAAGGAATCCTTCATTTTTCTATTTTTGCCTTCTATTGTTTCTTTTCAAACTTGTTCATTTATCATTTGCACTTTTTTTTATAAACCATGAGTTGTCAATAAAGCAAAGCCTTTTCACTAAATTGTGTTTTTTCTGGAGATATTTTGAAACCTCAAACAATAAAAGGATTTATAAGTACGGAACAAATAGCCTTGAAAATCCCAGTCGAAATACAAAAATCCTTCAAGAACCAGAATCTTCCAAACATTCACAAGAGTAACAAAAAGTTCATAAAACACACAAAAAAAAAACAACCTCACTGAAGAACCAAGAGAAATAGGCAGAGATGAACAACAGTCTATCTCAATACAAATAAATTATCCTGATTGTTATGGTAATTTACCGATGCACGCATGGACTCTCCCAGCTATAAATAGGAGCAGGTACTGCCTTTTAGAGAGGGAAGTTTCCAGCAGTCAGCTCTGAGTGTCAGACTGAACATTCTTGCTGTAACAGTCTTGTTTGTACATGTCTGTATTACAGTTTCTATTAATATATTTCCTTAACGCAATTATTCTCTTTGTGTCTTTATTTCTGGCCCCTAACAAGGCCAAATATGGCGAAAAGGACTCACTGAAGGGCCGAAATGTTGTAATAAATATGGCGACAAAGATGAGTACAACAGTCCAAATAATGTAAATAGTGTACATTATACCTCATCTCAGAAATATAGACAGATACTGAAAGGCCGAACCGTTGTAATAAATATGGCGACAAAGATGAGGACAATAGTCCGAATAATGTAAATAGTGTACGTAATACCTCATCTCAGAAATATAGACAGATAATATTAATTTATTGATCGTGTATAAAATCTGTATGTATTCTTTTACTATTATAATTTTTCATAAGCGGAACTTTATTGCCAATTGTAGAATAAATTTTTCCTATAAATCAAACAAACATCGAGACATTTCTCCCTTGTTTGCCTCTACTTTTTAATTTTCTTATTTTATTGCTCATATATATTTTGGCGATATATAAGATGAAGAGGCTAGAAATCATTATGACTGGACATGGAGTTCGATGTGTCGGACACCGTGTGAGAATGGCAGACATCCACCTACCCAAAGACATCTTCTTCTCAGAGCTCACATTTGGCAAGAGACCATGTGGAGCCCTACATTGTCGATTCAAGGTTTAGCAAAAAACAAAAAAAAACATGCTGGGGACAGAAATCGATCCGATCAATTGGGAAACGGAAACTGCAGAAAGAACAAATTGGAAAAAAGCAGAGTATGAACAACTTTGAAAGCACCGGAAGGCAAATAAAAGAAAGGAAAAGAGACCAAAGAAAAGCCATCCCCTAAACTCTCCTACCCTGACGTGGCCGCTGACGTCTGTTCATATCCAACATAGGATTTCTTTTACGCAGAAGGAAATGTCAATGAGCGCCCCAATACCCTGCAACAAGTTCCGCTAACGATATTTTGCGGATATTTAAATGTTCTGTTTTTAAAGTTTTCTTTTTATTCCGACAATATGTCCAATTGTTGAACATTTTCTTTGCCTATGGTGCAAAGGATTTTGTGAGGAAACAAACTTCATTCCTGTATTAAGAGAGCTGCGAGATAAAGAGAGATTGTAGGAATTGAGAGAATATTTAATTCTGAGATCTGTCTTAGGGTACACGATCATCTCAGTCTGGTCTTATTAGCCAATGGCAGCATCACGCACATTACAACACCAGGTATAATTACAATATATAGTTTGACATGCAATATCTGTGGTAATGGTCGTAAATCGCCAACTGAACTCACTCCCAATTTAAACAGGAAACATCCAGACGAGAACGCTTTCATGCGCACATACACAATATGTGGGTTGAAATGCAAGGCTAGAGAGACACTTGAGGAAGCATCAAGAAATAATTTAGGAAAACTAAATCCTTGTAAAATGTGGCCGCACTCTGTCACAAGTTGATATTCCATCATATATCTCTATACATGTTTGCGCGTGAGTGTGTGTAAAAATTAAGATATAACTAAACGAGAAATGACGAAATCAGAAAACGAAACACGTCGGCAAAGAAAAAGCTTTCCTTTGTCTTTAGACGTACACACACACACACACACACACACACACACACACACACACACACATATATATATATATATATATATATATATATATATATATATATATATATATTGTAGTACAATACGCATAATTTATATGGCATTTTAATGTATATTTTAAAAGCTAAAAAAACAACCGGTTTCGTCCCAGCCTTATCAAGTCTATTTCTGAGATATAAAAAATAAACATTTAAATTTAATTGATATTAATAATAACCAATGGAGGGGGGGAATAGAAGGAAAAAATCAGCATGCCAGGAAAAGCCAACTAACCAAATCCTTCTGGCTCTTCAATTGCAGAGCATGTTATAAATAGTAGGAATTGTGTCTTTGATTTTATGGTGGACCGTTTTTCGATTTTATCGAGGTCCCACTCCTCTTATCACCTCAAGGTTCTAGAGTCCTTGTATATCAGATCCTGTAGGCCTTTCTTCTGTAAACAGAGGGAATGATTACTGAGTCTGAATATCATTGGACTCTAGTTTTCTTGAAATTCATTTTCCCCTTCCATTGGTTATCATTAATATCAATTAAATCTACACCTTATATTTTTTTTATATACCAGAAATAAACATGATAAGGCTGGGACAAAACCGGTTGTTTTTTAGCTTTTAAAATATACATTAAAATGCCATAATATATATATATATATATATATATATATATATATATATATATATATATATATATGTGTGTCTGTCTGTTTGTTATCGAATTCCGCCTAAGGTTTTGAACTTAGACCACCATAACTATATATATATATATATATATATATATATATATATATATATATATATATATATATATACTGAAACTAGATTACCTAGGGTACTTCGATGAGTATATTTCATTTTGATCAAAGGGTGTCCCGAGGGCACACCACACTGATTTTTTTTCCTTTTTATATGAATTAAATTTAAATTTGAACAAGGGAATTGCTCCTAGTGTACTTGGATAAGTATATATCATTTTGATCAAAGGGAGGACCCAGGGGGGCACAACAACCCCCACTGATTTTTTCGCCTTTGATAGAAATTGAATTTGAACGAGGGAATGACTCCTAGGGTACTTAAATGAGTATATTTCATCTGCATCAAAGGCAGCCCCCGGTGGCACAAACCCCAGCACTGAATTTTTGTTTCCCTTTGATTTAAATTAAATTTAAATTTGAACAAGGGAATGACTTCTATCAAAAATATAGAAAGAGAAAGTCAGAAGATGGAGGTCAAGATCAAAATGAGGCAATATGAAAGTCAAGTTGAGCAAGAAATAACCAGTCAATGGATAAGGCCTTACAATACATATTTTTTTGCGACAATCCAACCATCATATCAATGTAGAAACCTGCTCATCAATTCACTCAATCAAGTATTACATCAAATATATATCAAAAGGGTCAGATCAAGGTTTCTTTTTTGCAAAAAATCTCCACTGAAAAGTTGTTTGACTTTCATTTAAATTAAATTTATATTTTTAAGAAGGGAATGAATTGTACCGAAAGTATAGGAGAAAGCCAGAAGATAGAGGTCACATCCGCAAGATCATTGAGTAATATTGAAATGCATCATTTTTCTCCACAAATTATAACAATGATTTAAAATCAGTCATCATTTTCTTACAAAAAGTGTGTGACGAGCAGCAAGACGCGGGTAAATTCGGCTAGTATAAACGCACGTACACATACACACACACACATACACATATATATGTATGGATAGACACTGAGATCAACACAGAGTGACGACAGTCTGTTTAATGCTTGACAGCAATCTTCAGGCCTTACATCATAACAGTCATCAGGATTGCGTTCAAGCATGAAAATGACTGTCACCAGTCAGTGTTGAACTCAGCGTCAGCACTTATATTAACACGTGATCTATCTCGGATATTGACCACTTTTACCCATAGATATATCATAAATTATGCCACTTGAACCATACATAAATTGCACAGATATACCGATAATTGGTAGAAATGCCGCTCCATATCCAAATATTTCCCTTGTAATCTATAGAGGGAAAAAAGACTAAATTCTGTGTGTATATTATTAGACTGAAGTATAAATGCAATCATTTGTGACCTTTAGACTCAAATATATGTCATTGGAACAGTTAGATAAGCTTAATATGTTTGAGAAATTTATTAAAATGATCTAGAACCTATACTGGTAAGTAACCGCCTGAATGCGGATAGGAAATAAATTCAGTAGGTATAGAAAAATAGAAAGGTATTTAAGACAAGGGTGTGTCTTCTCACCGGACTTTTCAATCTTTAGAGTGAGGTGATTCTTAGAGAGTTCGAAGTTTTACAATGTTTTATTATTTGTAGCCACAATCTTAACATCATTAGATATGCAGATGACAGAGAGTTGAGAGTAGACACAGAAAGAGAACCCCAAGAAATCCTAAACAATGTAATAAGTTTGAGAAGAAGGGACTAAACCTTAATTGTAAAAAGACAGAATTTATGGTTACCAGCAAAAGAAAGAGCCCAAGATGCGGACTATAAATAGCAATGCCAACATCAATCAAATACAAAAATTTAAATATATAGAAAGTGTTTTAAAAGAGAACAGAAATGCAAAAACGAAGTTTCATTGTGATAGTGAAAAATGTCTTCAAAAACTAAGCAAAGTATTAAGAAAGATGAAAATCTCGTTATAAACAAAGAAAAAAGTATTGAACTGTTATGTAATATCGCAATCATTCATTGACAGGATATTCATTGTTTCTTGTTCATAGCGACATATTAAGAGTTAAAAGGACAGCGAAATGCAGCGGGCAAACTACCTAACGAGCTTTTATAAATGTTTGTCAGAAAGATGTATTAGGAGAGACAGCGAAATATCCAAATTTACTAAAACCTACAAAGAATTATTAAAATTGTGGAGAGCCATGATCGCCCACGGACATAAAAGAAGAAGAATAAAGCGAAAGAAGCAAAAAGAAGAAAAAGAAAAAGAAGGAGAAATAGAGGAAGAAAAAGAAGAAGAAAAAGAAGGAGAAGAAGAAGAAAAAGAAGGAAGAAGAAAAAACAGAAAGAAGAAGAAAAAAGAATAAGACTAATAAAAATAAGAAGACAACGACGACGAAGAAAAAAAGGAAGAAGAAATAGAAGAAGAAAAAAAGAAGAAAAAGAAGTCGACGACGAAGAAAAAGAAAAGGATGAAGAAATGCAGGAAGAAAAAGAAGAAGAAAAAGAAAAAGGAAGAAGACGAAGAAAAACAGGAAGAAGAAAAAGAATAAGACGAAGAAAAAGAAGAAGACGACGAAGAATAAAAAGAAATGGAAGAAGAAATAGAGGAAGAAAAACAAAAATAAGAAAGAAGATGAAGAAAAACAGGAAGAAGAATAAGACGAAGAAAAAGAAGACGAAAAAGAAAAGGAATAAGAAGAAGAAAAAGAAAGAAGATGAAGAAGAAGGAAAAGAATAAGACGAAGAAAAAGAAGAAGAAAAAGAAGACGAAAAAGTAAAGGAAATAAGACGAAGAAAAAGAAGACGACAACGACGAAGAAAAAGAAGAGGAAGAAGAAATAGAGGAAGAAAAAGAAAAAGAAGAAAGATGAAGAAGAAAAACAGGAAGAAGAATAAAAAGAATGAGACGAAGAAAAAGAAGAAAAAGAAGACGAAAAAGAAAAAGAAGAAGAAGAAGAAGACAGATCTCGTCATTAAATATCTAACAAATGTGGATATATCGTAAACTTCACTAGCCCAACGCAATCCATAAATAAATAATGTCAACCGGATTGTCTAAAATATGCACAAGTCTCTTTCACTTAATTTCCACTGCAAATCTCGATGTCAAGTGGCCATCACATAAAAGTCATTTTGGTTCGTATACCACAGGATGTCTGCTATTCTGAGTCGTCTTTTCCTCTCAACCTTTTTTCCTTTGCAGCGTAGATTCACCAACGCCTATATCATGAATTCTTTCTCTTTTCTTCTCCTTGACTTTATTGGTGGGAGTGAACTGAAATCATACTAACAGAGTGCTTTAATAGTGGCAGTAATATGTTGAGAAATCATTAACAAACAGTTCCCAGAGCGATGAAAGAGTAATGTTGGGAACATCTAATAACAGAGATCAATCCTAAATCACGGCACTTGTGATAGGTTCTTGGATCAGACTAAGCGATACTTTTAAAATACTTACGCATTAAATATATTCTGGTTGAAAAGTTAGCATTCCGAACATGAACCCGTGTTGAAATCTTATTATGGTCAAATTAAAGCGGTGATTTGATAAGATCGAACTGAGTGATCGATCTCAACGTCTGGACGTTATTCAAACGGTTGATCAGGCCAGGTTATGCACTGTCTAGCAGAAACTAGACGGTACGCTCTGTAGGTTTGCAGTATAAACAACAAGTGACCTACGTGGGTGTTAAAGAAAAACGAATGTCCCTGAGCTGGAATCTACAACAGGGATTGGGTCGCCACTTTAGAAGAGAGGCATAATCGAGTATGAGCGACTAGTTATTAGATGGTGTCTGTGATATAACTATTGGCGAATTTAGAAGAGGCTTGCAAGAGGAGAAGTTAGACGTAAAGGAAGGAAAGATAATCTATAGATTGCAAGAAAGAATTTTTTTAAGAAACTCGTCTCTTGATGCTCGGTAAATATAACAAGAGAGAGGTTTTGATGAGAATCAGTAGCACTCTAATAAATGGAGATTGAATTCCAACATTCCGTACAATAAAATCCCAGCTCGTGACGTTGCATCATCACCAAGCAGGCCGTGGATTTTGCGCAGTCATGACGAGTCTTAATGAGACGACTTCCCAACTCAACCTGTTGGGATTCAGGTTCAGGCGTCTAATACGTGTTTCCATCCCTCTCTTCCAAGCTTCTATACACCGCTGGAAGGATTCTTCTTGGATTCCGGTAAGGTTCCGTCGTTAGGACCCTCTTGATAACTTTCACGTCTTCAAAACGTGTCCCTTTGATGATCCCCTTGAGCTTAGAGCAAAGAAAAAATGTCACGGAGAAATATCAGGTGAATAGGGAGGTTGTTTCAGTACGGCGATATTCTTCACGGCCAGTAACTGCTGGATGCTCAGGGCATTGTCGTGGTGAAGCAGCCCCGATTTGTCCTGCCACAACTCTCGTCTCTTCTCGGTCTCCGAGCGAAGCAAAGACGATAGGATCTCTTTGTAGACTTGTGCCAAGAATTCACTGTAGACTATACCTCTCAAATCGAAGAAGAAAGCCAGACCCGTTACTTTTCAGACAGACCTCGTACGATTCATTGATAAAAATCCTGGGAAATGGTTGATTCCTTGTACTGCTCCAGGAAATACCTGACTCCTCCTGACATGCTCTACCTGACCAAAAATGGGGTATTTCTGCTTTATCTGGGTTAACCGACCAATCCTTATTTTCCAACCTTGACAGAGTCACAAGCATTCACGCGGCCTTGTGGGTGATGAATTACATTCAACCCTACAACTCCTTTCCACACAGACCCAACGCTAAATACTCAATCGCTATTTCACTGGAAAATGTTCTGATGATTCGAATTCCTTGATTCCACTAATTTAGAGCTTAGACTCGCCCTTCGATATACATAGAAGCAAACAATCCTTATTCACTTCATATTTCATTGGTAGTTTACACCCTCCATACATATAAGAAATTAAGGAAATAGAAATAGATTCGACCAAAAACTAGAGTATGGCTACCACCCAGGTGTTGGCTCTGCTCAAACCTCACTTTCCCACATTGACAGAGTTTAAAGACAAAATTATACGCAAATTACTTAAAGGCAAACAGCAAAGCATTTCAACACAAATCAGAGTCTGTCGTGAAAGATAAAAATTACGAAATTAATATTTCAAAAAAACACATTTTTCCATCTCATCCCGAAAAGGCGATCGGGTTTTGTAAAATTAAATACAGATAAAAACGATCTGTCAGATTTTTAACATGATGGTAACTGCCAATAAAAAAAAAGTGAATAATAAAAAGAGTGATCAACTAGAAAAGGAGAGGATTTATTCAGTGGGGAATCCCACCATTACCACTCCGTATTCCAGCATTTGTTTCACAAAACACTGGGACAAGAAGCCTCCCCAAAAGCCTCCTGGAGCCAATCTTACAAATAAACAATGCATCAAGACTACCCCAGACTAACATGCATTCTAATAGGAAGTCAGTCTCACAACATCAATAGGGAAAGAAGCCCCTCCTTTATACCATTCTACATCCCAACATAGACCAAGGCATAAAAATCAATGGTGGTTGAAGCTCCGTTAATCTCGCTATTCTGAATCCAAAACTTGTGTCACAGAGGTAATCACCTCACTTTGATACCTTTCCACAACTTAACATGGAACCAGTCTTCAAATTAATATGGTCTTCCCCTACCACAATACTGACAGGCGTTTTAAAAAGGAACGAATCTAACAACATTAGTGTGAGAACAATCTCCCTCAATACCATCCCGTATTTTAATTGTAAGTCTTCGAAAATAAATACGATGAGAGGTTCTCCTCGTCTGCATCTTAATTTGAAGCTCGTCCTACAAATGCTGCAAGAAAAACCACCAAAATCAAATCGACATTCTATTTTTGATTATTTCAATCAAAGAAGAAGATGAAGCCACTAAGACGCAATAATTACTGAGCGCGTAAATTGAGAAAACGTTATTAAGGAGAAAGTACAATAAAGAACAGGATTCGACTAAGGAAATGGTGATTGAGGTTACGTCTAAATTTTTGAAGATCGAAGTTGGTAGAAAAGAAAGAAGCTGAAACAAAATTCCATAGGCGAGAGGCACGAGAGGCATTAGAATAGAACTTACGGTTATGTCTAGCAAGTTCAACATTAAAATAATCAGACCGAATTACCAAAATCTGGTACGGTGCTTAAATTCCTTAAAGTCGACGTATCAAAGAGGAAATCGCAGAACACTCCCAATTTACGATCAGAGATCCTGTCTAATAGCCTGCCACCAACACCTCTATTCCTCACATAGAGCGTCGTCTGGTTCGTCGCAAAGCTACTCGACTCGCGTGATAGTCTTTCGCCCTAAGACCCACTCTGGTCAAGTATGGTCAAGTGAGGCTTATCAAGTTGCACGATGCTTCCGTTTCCGGAGAAGCAGAAAGGCTGCAAAACAAATAATCGTGAAATAAAAGCGACACAGAAACGCACGCAAAACCAGGGTAAACAACCACACCCACACCCACACCACATCTACTTTAATTTTATAGTCTTTCATTATTATTATTAGTTTATATATTTTTAATATATTTTTATTTATATGATTTTATATATTATTATTATTATTAATATTAATATTCTCCTTGTCCTTTCCGTAATTAGCGCGTATGTCACGACCTGCCAATATCTAATAAATAACGGACTATTCAGTTTGATCACAAGGAAATATGGAAAAGAGATATCAGAGACGCTGCTTGGTTTTAAAGAAAGAAAGAAAGAAAGAAAGAAAGAAAGAAAGAACAAATAGAAAGAAAATGAGAAATAAATCTCTTGCCATTGCTTCATAAATAACGAACTATTCTGTTGTGAGGAAATACCAAAAAGACATACCGGAGACGCTGATTTGTTTCAAAGAAAGAAAGAAAGAAAAAAGGAAGAAAGAAAGAAAGAAAGAAAGAAAGATGTCATATATTTCACGTGTCTTCTTTAACGCCTGGTTCAGTGAAACCTTTCTATATTTACCCTCTTACTTCTTTAGATAATGATTTGGTCAACTCTTAAATGTTGCAATAGGTGTGTGTGGAGGCCGTTCTACGGGTATGTTGTAATCATAGGCCTCGCAAAGATTTCCATTGCATATTATGATACGGCAGATAACCCAAAAATGAAAACGTGGAGATTTCACGGAGAGCGCTGCCTAAAATGATTCTGTTTGTTCCCTAGTTACGATGTATGTTACGCCCTGTCAGTACCAAAAGAATAATAAACTATTTCGTTTTGATCACGAAGGGAGGCGCAAAAGACATATCATAGACGTTTTCATGTTGGGGAACAGATGATAATCAGATGTGGCCAAATCAGGTCATTTTGTTTATATATTAATAATAGATTTTGATTTTTTATGTATTATTTTTTTGCAATATTTCTTGATTCTGCACTCTCTTTATTCAAACACACGCACGTGCACACACATACATACACGCTTATGTATGAATGTATGTAGATGCGTACAATTCATAAAGACACTCAGATCCTCCGAGAACATGAAATTTGAGCAAATTTTAAGCGTGCAGCCTGGAAAGAGGAAATCCTTGATTCATCAATCAATCAACTTTAATGGCATCAATTTGACAGAGCACAAGAGTCGATTGAAAAGCTCATAGGCTGACCAAATTACACCCTTGTGCAAATCAATTATACACGAAAATATGGAGGACCATGATCACCGAAACCTTTGTGCAAACTAATTAAAACAAAATGAATAATTCCGTTATTATTTACTATTTTCGTATTTTTCCACTGAAACATGACCCAGTGCACATGTTAGTACTTCGTATGTCCATTCCACGAAGAATTTCCTTGCAGATTGACCACGGATTCACGACTGGATTTAAATCAGGAGTTTCCGGACTAGTCTATTGTTATTTGATCTGCTCTCTGGTAAAGCATGCCAGTGTGTTCGTGCAACGTTACAATTTTCGCACGCTTCCTTGGAGTAACGTCT